TACATGGCTTTGAGGAGCCAGAGGGGCGTTCTAGTCAGAAATGTTGGCATTTCCTGCGCCTGGCTGCTTTGCCTCACAGCTGTGACTTTGACTGAACCAGTTGTTGCTGTTACCCTGTGTTTGCTCTTCTTGATAATTACGATATTTGTCACCTGTTTTTGCTGCTTGTCCGTTCTTTGGGTTTTGATTCATCCGGTTCCAGGCAAACAGGGCGGAGTTTCCACTGGGAGAGAACAGCTGAAGTATAAAGCATTTTACACCATTTTGGCCATACTGGGAGCGTTCATAGCCAGATTTTCATGTGGGTTACTTTGGGTTTCACTAAGTGTGAAAACAGGTGAATCCAATTGTTTGGTGGTAGCTCTCAACTGTTGGTTCAATCTTCCCAGCGGCCTGGTGCAACCGCTGCTGTTTCTGCAGAAAGCAGGGCGACGTGTTGCTCTGAAAAACAACAACAAATGAAAACGTGGACAAAGAAAAGAGGCTGCAGGGTCTTACTGGAGTTTAGATCAGAGTTTCATCAGTTTGAGTGAATTTAAATGAATCTAAAAATGTGTTTCTCAAACCGTGGCTCCCGGACCACTGATGGTCTGCGAGGTCCTGCATGTGAACAACCGTTTAGTTTTAATGACATAAAGCTGCATCATTTCTAAAGCTTAATCAGAAAAACGTGTACAACAAATTTATGTCAGATCATAATTTCTTGGGTAATGTCAAGTTGTCATAACAAAGATTTTATTGTAGTCCAATGGGGAACCGCTGACTTAGCATAAGTGTAGTTTAATTTATTAAAGAATAAATTAATACTTTTTAATTGATACCACTTTCTTTTTTTGGTGTAGTTTATTAACTCTATTAATTGATCCATTGTATGTCTACATTTCCCTGCTTCTCAGATATTTGAGTGATTTATTATCATTATTCTCTTTATTACTATTTGTTTTTTAATTGCTCCACATGCTGATCATATCATTCATATAACCATCATTGCTTATAAACTCTTACACAGTTAATCTTCATTCATTAAAACACAATTTTGTTATTTATTTTGCGTTTGTTTTCTTCCTTTATGTGTTGCACCATATGAAATAAATCTCTATTTTATTAAATTTCTTTTTAAAAGGCCATTTTTCTGAAATGTGAATGTTTATTTCAACAGCAAAGTGTTTTAATCCTGGATGCATTTTCAGTAAAACAGCCAAATATTTCCAGATTTTAATTCTGTCAAATCTGTATAAGAATAACCAAATAAAGGAAATATAGATGACAGTGGAGTTTGCATTTACTCTCTAGGGATAAACATCCATTTAAAACTGTCACTGTTTATTTGCATTTGACAGTTCATTAATCTTTTTATTTCCAGAAAAAAAAAAAAATAAATAAAATGACTGGTTGCTTTGCAAAAAACATTTATCTTCTGTTATCATTTACATGAAATAATGATAATAATAAAAGTCACAGATGTGATTTATCGATACATTAATCATAATTATTTTAGCTAAATGTGTTTTGTGGTTTTAGTCAAACTGAGAGAAATCATGTGTTGAAATACTAAAGTTCTACTGGATTCTCAACATTTAAAAAAAATAGATGCAAAACAATTAAAACTTTTTGAGAAGATGAGAAAGGATTTGATTTAGCCATTTCTCACATAAAACCATTAATTATTGGGAAGATGTCAGTAATAAATATAAGATGTAAAGGCAATGCAAATAAACCACAACTAGATCTATGTTGAGTCAGAGGCGAAAGGGACCTGCAGAAAAGCCACACAACACATTTTGAGTCAATGCAAAGTGAGAAACAGACATCAGAAAGGTTAGTGTTGTTTTTATATTCTTAAGTTATTATCAAATTAATGCAACTAAAAAAACTTCCAGAGTTTGACATCAAACTCATCATGGATTCTTTTATTTATTGAAAAACAAATCAGTGGGAAAAACAAAGTTGTTCTAAACTAAATCCAAAAGCACAAACTTTATTACAAACCAACACTAACAAATGTACGGCAAGACCTTTTGAGCAAAAATGAATACAGGAAATTAATGAAAGAAAGAATAGAACTGAAGAAAAAGTTATTTATTTGTGTGACCTAAGTTAGTATTCAAACTGAACTTTCTTGGTGAAAAAGAATATATATAAACCTTTTTATACATTTTGCAACAATTGATAATCAATATGCTTTATTGAGGTTTTTGGGCGAGACCAAAACAATGTAATTACAATTTAAATAAAAGGAAATGTAGGTAAAGTAATTTTATTTATAAAGCATATTTCAGCAGCGAGGCAATTCAAAGTGTTTTACATGAATTAGAAGGAAATAAAACAAAACAAAAAGGTAAAAATACAGAATATTTAATAATAACATATCATTTCAGGAGGGCCAAATAAAAAAGCTCACTAAACTTTTCAGATGTTTTTAGTGTGTGATTTTACATTCCAGTGAAATACCAGGTTTATAGTTGATTTGTGTAAAATGTGAAACAGAGTGAGGTACGAATGTTAAACTCAACAGATGTTTTGCTTGATGTTTTCTAACTTTCCTCCATTTATTTGCTGCTCCAACCAGACATGTCGGCCAACTCCTCCTCGTCTCTGGAGACTCTCCTTCCTCCCTCCGTCTTCTTCATCTCTGGAAGTTTTTACTGCTTCATCTCCAGACCGAGCTCCTTCAGCTTCGTCGCGTTCTACGTCGTCCACGTCGTTCTTCTTCTCCCCCTCAGCATCGTCATCCTCCTCTCTGCCCTCAAACAGTGGAAGCGAAGACCCTCCGGCGGCTCGCCGCCGCCGCCGTTGAGCCACTTTGACTGTTTCACTTACCACATTGTGGCCATGGAGACATTTTGTGTCTTCAGGCTGGTCCCTTTCGTCATGGGCATCTATACTGAAAACGTAACGGATATATTCGTGGGAGGACTTTTGTCGTCCTTCATTTGGTACGGCGAGACGTCGTTTCATGTTCTGACGTGTGTGGAGCGCTACCTGGCCGTGGTTCACCCCGTCACCTACCTGAGCCTCCGGAGCGCCCGGGGAACCAGGATCAGGAACGGCTGCGTCTCCTGCGTCTGGCTGCTGTGCGTTGCGAGGCTCGGCTTGTTTGTGTTCAAAGACGTTTTCCTCGTCATGGATTTCTGCCTCTTGCTGATCTCCTTGGCGATCATGTCGGCCTGCAGCCTCGCGGTTCTGCGCGTTTTGGTCCGTCCAGGTCCAGGAGAGCGGGGCGCTGAGAGGGTCAGCCAGCTGAAAAGAAGAGCCTTTTACACCATCGTCACCATACTGGGAGTGCTGGTTTTGAGGTTTAGTGGAAGTCTGATTTGGACTGCATTCTTCATGTCAGACAAAAAGAGTAACTGCTTGATCATGGCCTGTGTCGCTTGGTTTAATGTCCCCAGCAGTCTGGTCTTACCTCTGATGTTTCTACAGAGATCAGGAAAGTTTATGTGCTGCAAGAACAACTTCCAGTGAAGTTTCATCACAGCATTTTAGGGATGTTTTCGCCCCCTAGTCCGGTTAACTCAGTGTGAATCGAGACCTAAATTGCAACATTTGCGCTGCGATGTTGTTCCCCTCCTCGCCTGTGGGGGCGCTGCACTAAGAAACAGAAGAAAAATTAATACTGAGAACAAAAAGACACAGAGCACAACTTCCTATTTTATGAAATGTATATAAAAATGGAGTAGACTCAGATTTTAGCGGGTGTAGGTTTTCTCTTTTGTCTTTGGTGAAAATAAAACATAATAATTCAAACACTAGCAGCATTTTTTCTATGTTTTCTAGTTTTCCGGGCTGCAGTTTCAGTGAAATATTTCCCATGTGCTCAATTTATCTTCAAAATCTGTGAATGCAAACAGGTGGAAGGACTCTGTTCATCTTATTTTCACTCAAATAAACTATGTAGAAAAAACAAATAATAACATAATCATAAACCATGTTTTGTGGTTGTCCTTTCATAATGCTTTTTTATTTTGTTGATTCCTGACAAGATAATTTTTTTCCTGAGTTGTTAGAATTAAATGAATATGTAAATTTGTTATGCATCAGTTTTCTTCTAAATGAAACAAGTAAATTAAAACTATTATGTTACAGCTGGTTTGCTTAATAAAGTGAACTATAATACTATTTACAACATTTTTGCTTTTGTTTATATAGATAAAAGTATAGAACCACATTAATGTGGTCTTACATTGAACATTTCAAACTGAACTAAATTTGTTTTCACAGGAAATGTATTTATTTAAATCAAAACCAAGTGATAATGAATCACTGAAAGTCAAATTTATTATTTCCAAATCTAATAACTAAATATAAACATTTATTTTTCAGCTAAATGGAGAAATTATACAATAATGTTTTGCATTTGTTTTGAATAATTCATGGAAAGGAGCATCAACGCTGCTGTCAGTGGTTGTTTGCATGACAATCCATCAATTCTTCACACAAAGTTCATCTGCTAGTTATTTCCTTTACCTGGAAATGAAAACAATAACAAGCCTCTCAATCTCCAGCTCATTTGAATCGACTGTCATGTTTGTTGCAAATGAATTTTAATGCAGAAGCAGCAAAAAACAACAACTGGTGCTCAGAAATAAACTCTATGATCAGTTTAAGTCTGAAATAACTCTAACAGTATCAGTATGTTTAATACTGACACCCAGTTTCTCTTAAAAACAAAACCAGCATGTGAGCAACTTCAGGACTACAGAATAAAAAACTTTCATTTTAAAACAATTTAGTTACATAGTTTTTAAATTACACTTATTGTTAAACCAAAAATCTCAACAAACTCTTAAATGGCTTGAAAAAAACATAAATATTAAACCACCTCACATTAAGTGTTTTCAATATTCTTCACTGATTCAATAATTAAAACTAAACACACTTCTATAAATGACATAAATATTCGATTATCAATCTCATAAAGAAGAGATTATTATGCTTTTCACATCTGAATAACATGATAATCAATAACTTTGATAAGAATACAGTTAACTGAAGTCTAATTTGAGGATATTATAGATAATAGAGAGATAAATCTTGTTTAAAAATCAATGTAGACAAATATTTAACTTGAGTTTACGTCTCTATTTGTAGCAAGTAGGAAGATCAGGAATGAAACAGGGAAAATTATTAATGTAACTTTTATTTCTTAAACGTCAGAAAAGCTTAAACTATTTTACTTTCTGCAAATTAAACTTTCTAATCCTAATAATCTCCCTAAAACATCCAACCTGAGACAGAAACACATTTTATCTGTCGGTAAAATATATTCTGCTTATTTACAATGTTCATATTTAGTTCAGTTAAAGAAAGACTTGCATGTTTTAGCCACAGGTGGATCATAAAATCTGAAATATTGGTGAAAAAAGGCCTTGCATATTAATACACAAATCAAGATGCATTTTAGTTTAAGTTCTAACTTCATTCATACTTTCGCAAGACTTTTAAGTCCAATTCTCAATTTAAATGCCTTGTGGTTTTGCTGAGTGTGATTCTGAAATCTTCAGAAAAAAATGAGATAAAAATAAAGATTTAAAAGCCAAAAAACGTTAAATATTTATGACCAGGCCTGGTTTTCACCAGGCAGCAGCTAAACCTCAAATAGACCTTTTTCCATTTGCTCTGTCCTGTCTTGGTGTCTGTTGGTTGTTTGGAAGTTGAATAAATAAACTTAATATCCATGTTTGTGCCAAGCAATTAAATTAGGAAACATTTTTACCACAATGTTGCTGGATTTTCTTACAACAAACCAACTTTCCTTCTCTTTGCAGAAACAGCAGGGGCAACACAAAGCTGCTGGGCAGATTCACCAGAACCCCAACAGCCACCAATAAGCAGTTAGAGCTGAGATTTAAACCGTCTACGATGCTCCAGATCACACTTCCAATGAACCTCAACACCTGAACCAGCAGGATGATTAAAATGGTTCTGAAAGCCCCCTGCTTGGCCCGATCGACCCTCCTGGCCTCCTTACCGCCTGGTGAAGGCTGATACAAACTAGACATGACAGAAAAGCTGCAGAACGACACAAATGCTAAATTCGCAACCAGGAGGCATACATCGAAAAAGGCGAGGAACTTTCTGAAGGCCATCAGAGCCGTGCAGACGAAGGAAAGCAGCCAGACGCAGAGAACTGCCACGTTCCTGAGCCTCACGCCTCTCTGGTTCCTGAGACTCAGGTAGAAGGTGGGATGAACGACGGCCAGGTAATGCTCCGCACACGTCAGCAGCTGGAACAGCGTCTGTCCATGCCACACCAAGGACGTCAAAAAATCCCCAATAAATATCAGAGAGACGGTTTCACCGTAGATGGCGCTGCAATAAAAAGTACAATTGATGATGTTAATCGTCTCCACGGCGGTCAGGTGGTACGTGAAGCAGTCAGAGTGACTCAAGGCGCGCCTCGTTTGGCGCCACTGCTGGAAACCAGCGTGGAAGATGAAGAGGCAGAACGGGAGGAAGAAGAGGAAGTCAATGATCCAATAAGCAGGGAGGATGAAGGAGACGGGTCTGGACACGTAGCAGGAAACCAGAGAGGAAGAGGCAGGAAGAAGAAGGGAGGCGTTTGAGGACGAGGAGTTTGTCGTCATTTCTGTGAGCGAGAAACGAGAAAGAGTCCAATCAAATTCACAAAAATAAAGAAAACCTGAGCAAATAAAAACACAACAATTTATCAACTGAGAAAAAGAAACTTTCCCCCCACTTTGTATTTAGTTATTACTGTATTGGTCACTGATTATGAGTTACTGACAAGAAGTTAAGTCATTTTATTTTGCTTATTAAAAAGTTATTACGTACAGTAATAATTAAAAATCAGGATTTCATACTGTAATAAACATCTGTGATGCACAAAGTTTCTACCAAAGTTTTACTTTTAAGAGTCTGAGTTTCAAATTATACAGACCAATGATGGCAGCAGGAAATGTTGCTGCATCTTGGCAAAAGCAGAACTTTGAAAAAAAAAAAGATATCAGAGAAATATTTTGATTTGTCTTTGCCCTCTGACCTTTGTGAACTCCTGCAAAACTCATCAAAACTACAGAAACGGCTTTTCATTTCCACATCAAGCAAGAATATCAAAGATTTAAAGTCAGAACATTTAGTAAGTTGTTCTTTCTGTGAAGATATTTGTTGAATTTAATAATCTCTTAAAGCCAAATAGCTAAATAGTTCTGTCCTGGTTACCATTATGTTCTTTGCTGCCATTATGTACATACTTATTTATCACTTTGTATTTCAGCTGTTATTGGTAAATCTGATAATCGTTGTAGTTTATATAATAAGTAAAGAACGAACACCGACCTTCTCTGTGTTTCCATTTCTCAATCTGATTCCTGTTAGCAACATTTATCCGGTTTTATTGCAGCTCCACCTTCCCACACTGCTTGATTTTTATTTATATCCAAACAAGGTTTCATTTGCATCCAAAAACAATTTAACAGAAATAATTAATGACAAACAATTTAGCTTTAGATGAAAAGGCATTACAGGCGATAATAAGTTAGAAAGTCAGAAACTCTGATTTTCCATTAGTTTTGTCCCAAACAAACATAAGAAACAGGATTCATTGAAATTACATTGTGATTTTTCTGTTTTTAATTTATTTTGTGATATTATTTTGGTTTATTTTTGATTCAAATAAATGTTGATGTAAAGTTTGTCTTCGACGACGTCTGTGCTTCAGTGTGTCGCTGCAAACTGGCAGCAAAAAAAATAAAATAAAATAAAATAATAATAATAATAATAATAATGATGATGATGATGATGATGATGAAAGGTTCTGCAAACTGGAGCCAGAAAATATGAGAAACCAAAAAAAAAAAGGACCAGAAATATTCTGGGAAGAAAAGGATAAAATTCTTCTGCAGGGAGAAATTTATAAAGTTGGAAAAAGAAAAAAATTCAAGTTATTTTAGCTGGAGGCGATTCTGCAAGTCACTGAATCTTTGGCTAAACTTTGTTTCTCCAGTGTTTTTCCCAGACAGGAAGCTGAACCTCTGCGTTTGTAGTTGAAAGGTTCATTTTTTCTGCAGAAGTTACTTTTCCATTAAATAGTTTTTAATTGCAGCTCTGAGACGTGTCTGATTAATATCTGTTGTTTTATTCTGATCAGGTTTTGCTCGTACTTTACATGCTGCTTGAAAAGAAAATAAACAGATTTAAATAATCGCGGCACAATTTTTTATGCAAATGAGTCATCTTTGCAGCTGGGAGCAAAACTCGGAGCTGAAGTGGAAAATAAAAAACTCAGGTCTGACATTTACATCAAAGAAATGCTCTGAGTTCAGAGGATCAGGATCAAAAGGTTGGTGTTGCGTTCACTGACTTTATTTGCACTATAATTTAATAAAAATGAAGGTTTAGACATGAACAAAGACTGTCAACATTTGCTAAGAGAACATTTAAATGCTTAAAATGATCATTTGACCAGATTTGCCGTGTATAAAGTTTAACCAGTTTTTCATGATTTTTTTTTCTCTTCCAGACATCATGATGAACGCATCACCGCCAAACTTTTCCTCCACGGTTGGGTCTCCGTCGTGGGAAGCCGCGTGTTTCGTGTCGGGTTGGACCTCCGTCATCTTCACCTCGTTCTGCATCGCGAACATTTCGCTTCTCCTTCCTCTCTGCATCATCATCCTGCGCTTCGCTCTGCAGAAATGGAGGCAGAATCGCTCCTGTTTCTCCTCGGCGTCGATGAGCCACTGCGACTGCTTCACGTACCACTCCGTGGCTCTGGAGGCGATCGGCGTCGGCGGCTGCGTCGTCTCCTGCAGCGGCGTTTCACGGGGAGTTTCAACGTCGTTGTGATCGGGAAGTATCTTTTCTTCTTCAAATGGTACGGAGAGGTTCTGTTTCACGTCGTGACGTGTCTGGAGCGCTACATGGCCGCCGTGCATCCCGTCACGTACCGGAGCCTGAAGAACGAGCGAGGAGTCAGAATCAGAAACGTCACCGCCGCTTGTGTCTGGCTGCTTTGTTTGGTGTTCAGCTCATTTTTTCTGTTTGAAGCTTCGATTTATTGGGAATTGTCCTTCCTGGTGTTGGCGTTAGTGGTGATCTCCTTCTGCAGCGTTTCTGTCCTCTCGGTTCTGGTTCGGCCCGGTCCGGGGGAACGAGGCGAGGACAGAAAGAAAGTGGCCCAGTCAAAGCAGAGAGCCTTCGTTACTATAGTTTCGACTTTGGCCGTACTGATGATCAGAGTTGTGGTCAATGTGACTTTGGAGGTGGTTTATTGCACAACTGGATTCACTGACTGTGTTTTATTAACAACTGTTTTCTGGTTCCACCTCCCCAGCAGTCTGGTGTTACCAATTTTATTTTTATACAAACACAGAGAAAATGTTTTGAGACAGACGATGTTCAGCAAGAGTTAGGATTAAACTGGGCACTTGAACCGGTTCGGCTCCACCAGTGTGGGCGTAAAAATGGGTGATGAGCAACCAGAACCTGCTGGTCCATTCGGAAACCTAAAGATTTGGGTTTTGATGGACTCAAATAAACCCAGATATTTCATTTTATCTAGTAGTAATAAATGACTGGTCCAAACAAAATGAAAACAGCTGATTATTTATACATATTATTATATTAAGGCATTTTTTTTCATTTTTCAAACATGCAGTCTTTTGCATTGCATCTATTTATCTGCATGTGCAAAAATAAAGACACATCAGTAAAGTGATAGTTATTGAAACATAATGGTTCTGAGGTTTTAATCATGTTTTGCAGTTAAAAGATGGCGATCAATATCCACACATGAACTTCATAAAAAACAACAACTGAAGAATAAAATATACATCAAAAACAAACCAGACTTTTATATTTTCTGTGTTTTATTGCAGTCGGCACAAAACTGCAACTCTGATAGCAAATTGCTCGTTCTGCTTTGGTTAAATGCTGTTTGGATTTTGCAAAGATGTAAATCAAGAGGTGATCAATCAAATCTAATCAAATCTCCCCTGCAGTGAGGATGAAAACCAGACAGAACCACTTAAAGCCACATTGCAAAGGTCTGCAAAACTTTATTGATTTGCTGCTAATTTAAGAAACAAAAACACACAAATTCACACTGCAGTATTTTCATTAAGTAAAAAAATAAATGAAAACTCATGTGAATAAGTTTGTTCATCTGACAAGGCATTAAAACCTGAATATAAACATTTCCATGAAACGTTTCATCAGTTTATCAGATGCATATTGTTTGTTTGTTTTCTGTTTTTCTCAGAGTTGTGAAAGTTTGCGACTAAAGTTTCAAGTCTTTTATCTTCACTCGCTTGTCTTTGTTTGAATGATTGCTGTTTGTGCCTGAGTGATCGCGTTTATTGACACGTTGCTTAAATGAACACATTTAAATCACTTCTCTGATGCAAATCAGCTGGATTTGAATAAGACTTGGAGCGACGTGTGCAGAGGTCAATAAAACCTGGGTCAGCGCAGCAAACATCCAGAAAGCTGCTGAATTCCCAGAGACGAATCTGTGCTGAACACCGGGGTTTGTGTTGACTTGGTTTTTAATGATGTCATGATATGTGAGAAATAATGTTTTTTAATCTGAGATTTGTGAAGGAACATGCCAACATTCAAAATGCTCTGAATGGATTTATTAATGACTAAAATATGGTGAAAAAAAAATCTTGTCTCAGTAAACATGCTTTAAATCTTCAAAAATGTGTAGAGAAGTAAGTAAGTGTTTTGTAAACGGATAAAGTTTCTTTCTCAGACATGATGGTGGACGTGTTGTTGCGATGCAACAGCTCCGTTTCCTCCTCTGACTTTCCTCTGGCCGCTCACCTGGACGCTCACCTGGACGCTCACCTGGACGCTCACCTGGACGGTCACCTGGCCGCTCACTGCTTCTTCCACGGCTGGAGCTCCGTCATCTTCACCGCGTTCAGTTTCACCTACACTCTCCTCCTCCTTCCTCTCAGCATCCTCATCCTCAGCCAAGGCCTGCAGAAATGGAGACGATCTCCCTCCTGCTCCTCCATGAGCCACTGCGACTGCTTCACTTTCCACTCCGCCGCCATGCAGCTGCTCGGGGTCGTTGGCTCCACCGTCAGTTCCTGCGGTGTTTTCCAGGAGAATGTTAATATCTTTGGTATAGGGGGGTATATTTTCTTTTCAAAATGGTACGGGGAGATTCTTTGTCACATCCTGACATGTCTGGAGCGCTACGTGGCCGTTGTGCATCCCATCACATACCTGAGCTTTAAGAGCGAGCGAGGAGTCAGAGTGAGAAACGTGTCTGTTGCTTTCGTCTGGGTGTGTTTTCTGTGGCAGGAGTCCATCTGTATCACATTCAGAATGTCATATTTTGGGAATTGTCCTTCCTGATTTTGGCGTTAGTGGTGATCTCCTTCTGCAGCGTTTCTGTCCTCTGGGTTCTGGTTCGGCCCGGTCCGGGGGAACGAGGCGAGGACAGAAAGAAAGTGGCCCAGTCAAAGCAGAGAGCCTTCGTTACTATAGTTTCCACTTTGGCCATATTGATGGTCAGAGTTGTGTTCAATGTGGCTTTGGAGGTGGTTTTCGTCTTACCAGGGTTGAACTACTGTGTGATTTTGATTTTTGTTTACTGGCTGCACCTTCCCAGCAGTTTGTTGTTACCAATTTTATTTTTATATAAAGAGAGAAAAAGTCTGTTTAAAAATAGAGATTTTAGGTGATGGTAAGAGTTGCAGTTTCAATAAAGTCCTATAAATGGCATTTGTAATTGTCAAAAGTAAGTTTCATTGATGTCTACATGTATCACAAGCTGAAACACTTCATTACGTCACCAAGAGTTTGGATACCAATAAAAACCTGAAAGTTAATTACGTATTATTATTTTTATTACTATTATTTTACTGATTGTTGATGTGTAACAAAAAAACGAGAGGAGCCAATAAACGACCAAGCGGGTGGATAAAAAGAATATCAGGATGAAACTTGTTCACTCTGTTATCATATTTATTTATTTTATTTTATTTAGTTTTGCATATTTCAAAAGGCTTCACCATCATGTTCATAATATACAGTCACATCTATTTTGTTGAAATAAAAACAGAACAGTTTGAACAAAATCAAGATACCTTTTAGTGTTTTAACTCAAAATACAAAGAGATTTTTAAATAAAACTGGAATCACAAAATTATGCACAAGTAAAATGTATCCAAAATGAAATGTCTTTTTTTTTTTTTTTTTGCAGTGGTAAAGTTTACAATAAAATGACAGTTTTTCAAAACTGTATAAATGGTGGAGCAGAAAGACATTTATTGTGTTGATGAATAAAATGAATCAAATGCAAATAAGTCAGATTAGACAGTGTAAATGCAGCATCTTGAATATTCACAATAGAAAAAAGATTTGCTGGAAACTCTTACAGGGAAAAGCAACATTTAAATGGTTACACAAAGAAAAAGACAAAAAATTAGCAAATCACTTCCAACCTAATCAAAACTTAATAACTAAATTATCTACTTTCTCCTTTGATTTTAGCTTAATTCAAAACTTTGTTGAATTTCCACATAAGTTTTGTAGAAGGAAAACTGCATATTTTTATATTTAGAGATTCTTGTGGCTGATATAATCACTGATTCCTTATCAAAACAAACTTTCCATATGTCACAGATTTTTTTTTACTATTTCTTTTGATAATGTCTAATATATAAAAAACTTCTGCACTGCAAAAACACACAATCTTAACAAGTATTTTGTCTCGTTCTCTCACAAATATCTTGGTACACTTGAATTAAGACAAAACAAACTTAAAATACAATGTATAGAAGCTTGTTTTAAGTAAACAATTCCTTAATATTGATGGAAAAGTTTTAGTTCTATTGGTAGATCATTTATTTATAACATGGAGAAATTGTCTTGTCATAGAAACATTTATCTGGCAATGAAACTGGTACTTTTTAATCAATATTAGGAAATTATTTGCTTAAAACAAATAATTATCCTGCTGAAAAGATACTTATAAGTCAGTTTTATTGTATTTCAATATGGATGCTCTAGAAATGAGACTTTGGTGTCTTTGCAGTGTCATTGAAAATCAGACATCATTGTTTTTTTGTAACTTTTCTTGAAAACAGAAAGTCCAAAAGCTTCTGACAATTGTTTGTTGAGTTACTGATATTTGGTATGTTATATTTTCTTGTAGTGGTTTTAGTTTGACCAGTTTTTTAGGTTTAGGATTTGTGGTTTTACTTCCAACAGAGTAATTTTTCTGCTCTGTGCAGGAACAGCAGTGGTAAAACCAAACTGCTGGGAATAGCAAGCCAGACCATCGACCCCAGGATCACACACTCTCTGCCCAAGTTTAACACATAAACTACAGTCCAAACCAGACTTGCAACAAACCTCAACACCAGTACTCCCAGTATGGCCATGATGGTGTAGAAGGCCCTCCGTTTTGCCTTTTGCTGTTTCCCTGGACCTGGACGAATCAAAACAAGAAGAGCGGAAACACTGCAGAACGAAACGGTGACCAGGACTGCAGTCAGGAGGCAGAAATTCAGTTTGATAAAAACATTTTCCCACATCAAGCCGACCCCGGAGAGGGCCAGCAGCCAGACACACCCGGCGCTGATGTTTCTGACGGCGATGCCTCGCTCGCTCCTCAGTCGCATGTAGGCGATGGGGCGAACGACGGCCAGGAAGCGCTCCAAACACGTCAAGGTGTGAAACAGCGTCTCTCCGTACCAGGCATAGAACCACAGAAAGCCGCCGCCAAGCAGTAAGTACAGCTGACCGCTGTAGATGCCACAAAGGCAGAAAACACACCCCAACATGCCGGTGACCTCCATGACCGCCAGGTTGTAGGTGAAAAAGTCTGAGTGGCTGATCGTCGACATCAAGGAGGAAAAGGAGCCTTTTTGTTTCCATTCGCGCGCTCCGTGGTGAAGGACGGAGAAGCTCAGGA